GAACGTATTGGCACCGACGACCTCGCGGACGAGGTATGGTCCTTACCATGTTGACGCTAGCTTTCCATGTTTCGCGTCGGGGCAAAAGTTACGTCGCAGCACTTGGTCTCCAATTTGGATGTTGTGTGAGACCAGTTTAGCGTTGTATTACTTTGCGACTTGAGCCTTCGTTGCCCCCAGCTTGATAGCGGCTGTTTCCCGCCTTTCCGTAGTCAGCTCGAAGTCCGTGAGTCGAGCCTCGTTGTTGTCTTCCTCGTTGAACATGGTGATGCGGTATGTGGGTATAACTGTTTCTATTGGGATGATCGCGTAACTACCGTAGGTTAGCGCGAATGGGGTTTCGCCCGTTGCTGCCTTGAATGTCGTTCGATTCGCCCATAGGACTGTGTGTAGCTCCTCTGCCCAATTACCTTTTGCTTCCCCGAGGCGGGTGTGCAGATCGTGTAAGATTGACTTGTTTGCCGCCTCCGCTTGGCCATTAGCTTGGGGATACGCTACTGACGCGAATCGAGCTATGGCGTCTACCTCGTCACAAAAGTCAATGACTTATGCGCAGTCGAATTTCTTGCCATGGTCGAATACGAACGAATTAAGGACACCAAACCTAGTGAGTACGTTATTTTTGAAAAAGCGCACACCTGTTGGGCCGTGATTGACGCCAGCGCTTCTGCCTCTATCCACTTGGTGAAGTAGTCCACGGCGACAATGATGTACTTGCGATTGCCTTTTGCGGTGGGGAATAGTCCTAGTAGGTCGACCCCCCATTGCGCAAAAGGCTAGGGGCTTACATTTCCTTGGAGCTCTGTGGATGGTATGTGATGCTGCCGCGCATTCAGCTGGCATTTGTGGCATTGATCAACAAATTTCTTCGCGTCTTTTTTTATGCGTGGCTAGTAATACCCTTGTAGGAGGATGTTAAGTTCCATGCTGCGCGCGCCACAATGCATTGCGCAAATGCCTTCATGTATGTCCTTTATGATTGCTCGCGCCTCATCCGGTCCTACACACTTTAGGTATACACCTGAGTGTGAGCGCCTGTGGAGTTTGTCGTCGATGATGGTGCAACGGGCGGCCTTCTGTCTGAGCGCCCATGCTTCTTTCGAGTCTTCTGGTATCATGCCGCTCGTCAAGAACGCGATGATTGGTGTTCGCCAGTCGTTTTCTTCCATTTGTATTGCGTTCACGCTGCGTGATGGATCTTGATCCTCTTTCTGCACGGAGACCAATCATGTCGTGTCGAAGTCTGTCGCCGTGGCTAGTTTGGAAAGTGCATCCGCGTGCATGTTCTCCTCTCTCGGTATTTGGACATACGTGACAGCTTCGAATTGGGATTCCCGTGCCTTCACCCGCTCGATGTACTGGGACAGTGTGTCCTCTTTGGCGTCGAAGACCCCATTCAACTGGTTGACAACGATGGAGGAGTCGGAAAGGATCCGTACTGTTCTCGCGCCTAGGTCTCTGGCGGCAGTCAGTCCCGCGAGTATTACTTTGTATTCCGAGGCGTTGTTGGTTTTGAGGGTTTGGAAACGGATGGCGATTTCGTGAATAGCTCTTGTGGGCATTTTCACGACAACGTCTGCCCCCGCTCCGTGTTTGCTAGCCGGCCCGTCAACGTAGATTTCCCACGCTTCGTCGTTTTTTTGCACAACGTTACTCCTTCCGCTACAAAGTCGGCAAGGACTTGCGCTTTGATTGATGGCCTTCGCGCATACTGTATGTCGTATTCTGACAATTCAACCGCCCATTTTGTCATCCGCCCCGACACTTCCATCGAGCTTAGGATTTTCTTCAACGGCATGTTCGTGAGCACTGTGATTGCGTGTGATTGGAAGTAGGGTAGTAACTTTTGTGACGCGTTCACTAGGGCAAATGCGGCTTTCTCGATCGGGGAGTATCTTGTCTCCGCGCCGGCTAGCGTTTAGGATGTGTAGTAGATTGGTTTTTCCGTTTGCGCAAGATTAGCACCACGCTGACGGCTCGAGAGGACACAGACAGGTACAAAAACAATTTTTCATTAAGCCCGGGGGCGGTTAATACAGGGGGGAATACCAGGTACAGTTTGAGCTCGTTGAATGCAGCTTCGCACTCCGGGGTCCACTTGAAGCGGGCGCCATTCTTTAGGGTTTGGAAAAATGGAGCGCATTTGTCGGCGGATCTTGGGATGAATCGCCCTAGTGCGGCTAGCTTGCCATTCAGTGATTGTACCTCGGTGGCGCTTCTTGGAGCGCGCAGTTGTTGCACTGCTGTTATTTGCTTGGGGTCGACTTCAATCCCGCGCTTGGTTATCATGAAACCAAGGAATTTGCCAGCTTCTGCGCCGAAGACGCATTTCAGGGGGTTGAGTCTAAGGTTGTTTTTGCGTAGCGCCTCAAATGTTTCGCGGAGGTCTTCCAGATGGGAGCCCCCGCTCCTTGTCTTGACAATGAGGTCATCCACGTAGGCCTCGATGTTGCGCCCGATCTGGGGTGCGAAGACGGTGTCAATCATTCGCTTGTATGTTGCGCCCGCGTTCTTCAGGCCGAACGGCATCCCCGTGAAGCAGAAGTTGCCGAATAGCGTCATGAACGCGGTCTTCTCCTCATCTTCACGACTCATTGGGATCTGGTGGCGTCGATCAGCTGGTCAATGCGCGGAAGTTGGTACGGGTCTCCCGGGCATACTTTGTTGATGGTGGTGTAGTCGACACACATTCGCCACGCACCTGAGGCTTTTTCACTAGGACGACGTTTGCCAGCCATTTCGGGTACTTTACAGCTCGGATGAGACCGGCAGCTAGTAGCCGCGCCACTTCTTCTTCTATGGCTTTCAACTTCTCACCAGTGAATGAGCGCCGCGTCTGTTGACGGGGTGTCGCGGTGTCTGGCACCGCAAGGTAATGTTGCGCCACATGCCTTGGCACTCCTGGCATGTCTTCAGTGCACTAGGAGAAAAGCTCCTGGTACTCCTGCAATAGTTTTACCAGCGGCTCGACTATATCCCCAGGGACATGGGTAGAGATGCGCACCATTTTGCCTGGTTCTTTAGGGTTCAGCGCGACCTCGAAGTCGGAGTCCATCGACTTTGGGCGCGGGTCGTCAGCGCGGGTGTCAATGATGTTTGTCTGTCTTTGTGGCGCGATGGGGCGCGGGATTTGTTGGTTTCCCTCGGACCATTGTGAGCCGCGCGATTCTCCGGTTCCCGCCTTGGTGGGGAATTTGAGTTTTTGGTGGCACGTTGATGCCAACGCCATGAATTTGGCGAGGAACGGGCGGCCTAAGATGCCGTTGTGTGGGGAATCCTAGTCCACGATGGTGAACTACACTTGCTTTGACGTGCGCGGCTCGTCGTCACCGAGTACGACTGGCAGGGTGATTTCCCCGATTACCGCGACTCTCGTGCCGGAGAATCCTACCAAGTTACCTTGAGCCCGTTGGATCAGACTCCGGTCTACGTCCATTTGGTCCAAAGTGCGCTTGAACAGGACGTCCACGTCGCTCCCCCCGTCTATGAGCAGACGGTGCACCTTGCAAGCGGACACTAGCGCCGTTATAGTTAGTGGTTCTTCAGATGCGATTCCGCGCGGAAGCTCTGAGTTGCCGAAACTCAGATCGCACTTTTACCGCAGCGCTTGTCGTTGCACATTCAACCGCGCGATCTCGCTTTGTCTTTTTCTTTGGCCTATCTCCTTCGATCGTGACAACCCCTATTTCTTTGCCGACGATGTCACGTTGTAGTCTGCCTAGGGTGGAGGTGGCGGTGGTGCGGCTTGTTGGTCTTTCCGCTCCTCCGCTCCGCTTACGTATTCCGCCAAATATCCTCTCTTAATGAGCCCTTCTACATCCAAACCCAAATCGACATCCTACACAGCCAACACAAAATAGAACTAGCTCAGCACAAAATCTCGTAGGTCAATGGGGCTCAAGATATGGTGCATAATCCATAGTTATGTGCCCATGAGTAACTAAATCTGAGGAAATACTTAGCTGCAACCCGGTTTGCAGCGTGCTCCTGCTGCCAACCCAGGTGGCTTTCATCCATTGGCTAATATCTTATTATTAATTATATTTTTTATTTGCAACTTTTACTTAATCTTGCCACCGACCTGCCGAGACTCCATGGTGACATTGTCCCCAATGATATAATCTCCTAATATAGCATCTCCTCTGCCATCATTCTTTCTATTAGCCTACCTCCGTCGACCGACAATCTATCATTATAATCTCTTATGAAGTTATGATAGCATCTCCTCTGCCACCATTGTAATGGCATCATAGTGGGTAGACAACGGCTTCCGCATACAATCGATTGGAGGTTACAAATCCTCAAATTCAGATCGAATGATTCGATCGGTATTTCAAGTGCCCGGCGGCAGCGGCAAACAATTTCAGGCCATCAGCAGCGAAGCAATCGCAATGACGAATGGTCGATGAATAGAATCCAGCGGAAACAAAAAAAATTAGTACCTCAATATGGAAAAGTTTCAGATATTAAATATAATTAAAAATAAGAACTCAGCCAATAGATGAAAGCTACCTGTGTTGGCAGCAGGAGCAAGCTGTAAACCAGGTTGCAGCGAAGTATTTCCCCTAAATCTGGACCTTTCATTTAGAAAATATAGATCTAAAGCTCTAGAATTAAATGCATTTTTTTTACTTGTTTTCTTAATCAACTCATGTCTTTTTCGTTTTAACGTGGATTTCAAAAAAAATTCACAGATGGAACGAGTTCGTTGTGCTCTACAAAATGAGATCCATTTTCAATATTTTTTGAATTTTTTTTTTACTTGCCTCTCATTACCAACTGCGTATAGTATATTCTCCGCTTTGAAGTTGTTTTTTTTAATTTTTATACAGAAGGAACGAGTTTATCATAATCTATTGGATCTACAAATTTTTGGGTGAACAAAATACAGGACAAAAAACACCACACTGGTACGAGGTGATATCTTGTGGTACACAATGTTAGAAGTCTAAATGACAGTATCCTACTTTTTAAAAACTTTTTAGGAGATAAAAAGGGTATCGATGTGATAGATTTTAATTGGATTATGCATAGTTAATGACTACAAGGTGATGCACCTGATCTGCTCCTCCGTAAATGGCAACCAGAAAGTTGCAAATACCAAAACTGTCCTTTCTTTTTATGAACTTTTTCACCCAACATCTCAAGCTAAAACTCAAACTGGCTATAAATAGTTCACCTTATTAGAACTAGGGGGAAAAATTTGTTCACCTCCGCATCTCGCCTACAAATTATAACCCCTCTTACCTCAAATGGAGAGGAACTAAAACTGAAGCATGTTCCGGGTACAAAAACAAAACTCTGCATCCTGCGGCTCACCTCTCTTATATAGAATCCTAAATGGGGAAGGATTTAGCTTTATGTCCTCATCATATTCACTCTTGTAGCCCATGTCTCGTCATCTTCATTTTGCAGTGCACCATTTTACCTGTGTGCTCAAAGTATGCATAATGTACATGAGCAATTTTGTTGCCGAAAACGCTTATCATCAACGGCCGCCAGCCTTGCGTGCTGGTGGAGCACCAACATCCTCATCGTCCGACTCCACGTCTCCATACTCCCACATTCCCCTCCTGGCCGAACGTGCTTCGTCCTGGAACTTCTCTAGGTTATCAAGTGCAACTTTCCTATCCTTTGGGTCCCACTTCCTCCTCTTCTCCATCCTAGCCAGTCCTTCCTGTATAATATAGCACCCAAATGGTATGGAGCATGGAGAAGCATCAGCAAGAGTATATCATCAAAGGCCAGATAGTGCAAGTGAGAGTGTGGAAAAGTTGTACCCAATGATAGTATCATAAATCAAGTGAGCAAGTGAAATCAAAATTTGCCAATTGGTTGACTTCTCTTCACTAGTGGCGTGAAATGACTAAAGCTATCTGAACCAAGAATTGATTGGTTGGAGTGTAATGAATTACCTGAACCAGGGCTGTATTTACACTAATCTCAGCATCCACAGCCACCAAGGTTACGCTTAGGATTGGGCCAGTGCCCTGCCCTTTGACTTTCCCTCCAATGGTATCCCTCTCCTCTATTTTGGCTCTGAATTCTTTTGAAGTGCTCAAAGTGTTGGCGCTCAAAAACTCGGCAGCATCTGGACCGAAGTCTTCATCAAGGTCAGGGACCCTAACATATGCCAGGGTGCAAAGCTGAGCAAGCCCCGGGGCAGAAGATAGTGCAGGTTCAATAGGTCTCAAATTCGCATATGGGACCTCTTCTTGGTTTCCATAATCAATGTAGAAGACCTCGAACTTATCCTTTGGTGATTGGACAACTCCTTTCGGGGTATTGACAATCTTCACAAAGTAAAAAATATCAGTGGAAAATCAAAGAGCCAAGGGCCAGGGATACCTGATGAGTGATGACTTAAAAGGAAACACAATTAGGATGGAACGGAAAACATAAAGTGGCAGATAGTAAAAGTAGATGCTTGCTTACAATAGCTCGATTCCAAGAATTATCTGCACTGAACTGAGCAAGTACTTTGTCCTCCTTCTTAGGATTGAAAGCACCAATAACAGGTGCAGGAGAGTCCTGAAGATTGAGGGATGCGAGCTGTTGCTGAATGGATGCTACTCTCTGATCATCAACCGTCTGGACATAGAACTTGCCACCTCCCAAGACTTCAGTAACCACAACCTGCAAAATAAAGCAATGGACAAACAATCATGTCCCACTTTTCAAATCATAAAATAAAATAAAAACAGCTCATTGGTCCAGTAGTACTAACTGAACCCCGCTCACCTTCAGAACTTCTTTCTGCTTGCCTTCCATGGTTGGTGCACCATTAGAGACCGTTTCACCTTCAACATAGTTCTCCCATATCTGTAGATGGCATAATTTACGAATTTAAGAAGCTGGGCAAGTAAGTAAACTTGTAGCACCAAACACTAATATGTATGGTCCTATCTTACTTTCAATTTCCGTTTTTTGGCAGATTGCTCAGCCCGCTCAAGTAGATGTACTTCAGGAATCCTGTCACTGCCAAAGGCAGTGTGTAGCTTAGCAAGGCCAGCTTCCAAAAGAACTGTTGCCATGTTAGTCCTTGACTCCCACAAGGATCCTAAGAAAGTTCCGTTTCTGTCTACAGTCTCGACCTCAATCTGTGTGACCATAAGAAAAGGGTTTTAACCAAAAACAGAAGAATTAGAAAATCAGCTCAGAGAATAACAGAACAAGCTAGGAAGTACCTCTACTTCTCTCTGCATCAACCGCAGTCTCATCAATGTGATTGCTTCATCGGAATAAGGCTCTTCACGGCCAGGGCATCTAACACCAGACAAAGCAAAGGCAATGCTGCAAGTTTCCTTGGGAACCAGCAGCTTAAAGCGATGACCACTTAGCACGTATTCCACTACAGCTGCAATCTTCCTACCACGTTGAAGGAACGGCAAGAAATCTCTTGCTTTCTTGGCAATTCCCTGAACAGAACAGCAGCACATCAGAATTATTACGAGATAGATAGACCAAACATTCCAGCGAAAAAAAGAGAGTGGATTCTCCGTAACTGCATTATTATTCTTAGAAGAGGTAAGATCTGTTATGTGCATGGGCTTGGCTGCAGGGTCCTTGGAAGAATACTTCCCTCTCTTCGCAGCAATAGCTCGCGATTCAGCATTAAGAAGGGCATCATAGTAGCTTGATCTTTCATCCTGATCTCTATGCTTTACAACCTCACCAAGGCCACGAGAAATAATTAACTCAGCCACATTGATACCGGCTGGCTGACCAGCAGCAGTTGGTGGTGCTGTTGCTGATGTTTCATCATTGTCCCCCTTGGTAGAAGATGGGAGAAACACTGACCCAAAATGCATCAATCTAGAGTCTCCAACACCAGCAGCATCAGGGGGGTTCCAGGAGTACTCCATTTGCACATGTACCTGCAACGAAGCACTTTGCACGTCATCCCTAAAAACAATAATAACAAAATGAGGGAGAACAATCATTACTACAATTTCGTACCTGCTTGCCAATGAGCCGTGTTCTCAGAAACTCCTTGGCTTCCCGGGCATATGGCTCAGCTGGCTTGGCGTCTGCACGAGGATTCCCCATCTTAGGACACTTAATACTTGAAAGAAAGACTCGTCTTTCAGCCAGTGGACTTCCACAAGGGAAAGAATCATCAGCTACAACGATGGAATCACCACTTACAACCTCCACAACCTATAGGAGAAGTTGAATCAAACTCGGAACATATCCAACTCAGTGAGAACAGATAAATGTACCAAGATGTATACTTGACAGTTGACAAACCAAACACTACCTTCCCCGTGAATTTTTGGTCGTGTATTGCTTTCGAATTTTTAGCGCCTGGAACATAATTGACATGCATATTCCGGCGACTTTTCTTTGCTTCAAGGTCTGCAGCCCTCAACCGACGCCTGGCATCTTCTTCCAGACAACTGGCTCTCCATTCAACATATTCAGCAAAACCCTGAATAAATAAGATAGTATTTGAAGATCATACGTTAAACAGCAACTTTCAATCTACTCAGCCAAACATCTTCCATAAATTAAGGTCATTCAGTATCTACTGGGGTCAGAACCGAGGTTTAAAGTTGATTCAGAAACATGGTAATGAATCTTTTTCCCCATCATTTTGTAGAGATTCAAATGCATCACGAGCTCGCCCAGAAAAATATCCTTCATTTGAGAAACTAGTGATATGCAAAACTCTGACTCCCTTTTTGCATGGACCAACAATATAACCAGATACTCAAGATAGGATCAGATTGCCCTAGTTTAGATGAGAACTGAACCACATTTTATAATAAAAAGTGCAGGATACCAGCAGATATGCACATAAACTCAATGAAGCCAATTATCAATCCTGAACGAAAGCTGACAAAGGTGTTTGACTACTTACATTTTCAACAAGTTCCAATGCTAAATCCTTCGCTGTGTCCCCATCAGGATAATATACTGAACCAAGCAAATTACCATGTTTGTCTTTACCCTCGAAAACAACACGAACCTGGGTAACCAGACAGAAGTTAGTAGATGACAGCTTGTCAGGTGATATACAACATTATGCAGAAATTGAGCTTACTTCTCTATTTAAAACACGGAGCTCTGTGAAATGTTTGGCTTCAACAGCAAATGGCTGGGGAGGATTGTCTTGATGTGTTGCTCGAGCTGCAACTCTCTCTGCCACACTACGCTCAGAAGTATCTCCGTTAGACTCGCCTGATTTATCCTCTTTTTCTGGAACAGGGACAACTAATGCTCTTCTGCCCATGGATGGGCACTAGTTAGGAAAAGAAACCAAGATAATCAGTTAAGTACTGGGATGGTTTGATCCGGATGCAACAGCAAGTAACAATAGCTCTACAGAATATTTACCTGGACTCCTGCGACATAGACTTGAATAAACTGAAAATCTGGAAGCAAATAGACGCGGATGGTGCTTCCATTCGGAACTTGCTCAACAATGCATTCCATAGGTTTTCCTTTGTTTGTAGCTAAAAAAGCCTCAGCATTCAAGTAACTAGCATCTCCAATTGCAGAAGGGGGAAGATCTCTGATAGACGCCTCGGCATCACCAGGATTCTACAGTCAGAAACACACATTAAGTTCCACTTTCTTCAAAGATAGTATATATATAGCGAAACAGCAAGCATCAAAAGACAAGTGAGCAAGCTCCATAACTCCTCGCATAAATTTTAAAGGAATACGCATTTGTGACCTGCTTGAGGTTCGAGGGACAAATTCAATAATGACTACAACCACAAGAATAGATGTTGCAACAATTCTGCCAATTCTTCTACCGAAATCCAAGGGACCAAAACCTAATGAAGATGAAGAGAAGAAAACTTATATGCTTTTTGAACCCAAACGAAAAGATAAATCATCTATAAAACTGATTGGAGATCCAAGCAACAATGAAAGAAGAGGAAGGGGGGAGAGGGGGGGACCACTGACCTTACTCCATTTGCCGAGACCTTGTTCCTTAGCTTGTTCTTCAAGGCGTCGCAGTTCAGCAATAAAAGGACTAGCATCTCCTTTCTGCGATCCCTGCTCTCTGACCTATAGATACTTGGCTCGATTAAACACTTGAATACACAAAACCAATGTACAAAATACAAGGACCACATCCTAGGAGAGACATTACCTTTGCCCAGCCTTCAGAAACAACAAGTGCAGCAACATTTTTATCACCCAAGAAGACAGTACCAAATTCCCTCCCAATTGAGGGCACAGCATAATCGACTTTGAAAGTAACTTCCTGTAAAGAAAAAAAAAGCGACAAGCAACATACCAATAAGGTAACAACTAACTAAACTGGAAAGAAACTATCCACCAGCAGCCACAACACCTAAGCAGGCGCAAGAAAACACATTACCTTCCCTATGCAAAGCTTTCTTAGAAACTCTCTACTATCCCAGGCAAAGGGCTCATCAACACCGCCTCTCCGGGCCTGCAAAAAAGGACCATATAACCATCAGTTCAAACACTCCGAATTCAGCATTTAAGAATTTCTGAGAATTTCACCCCAAGACAAACTCATTAACATGTCCCGAATTCGAAAATACAGTAACAACAACGGAGCCAGCAGAATACCCACACACAAAGGTCACAAAGGAGTTACCAGCTTCGGTGCCATAAGTGAAGCCAAAGTGACGGTCTTCTCTGGAGGAGGTCCTTGCTTGCTGGTAATAGCCACTATGACCAGACAGTCCCCAGATGGCACAGCTTTCACTCTCCCCTTGTACCATGATGTGGCCCCAGCTGTGGATGTCGCCATCTCAACAGCTAAGATCTACAACCACCAAGAAAGCAACCAGCTTCAGAAAGAAAAGAGCTAAAAAGAGGGCAAAAAGAAACAATAGGCAAGAAACATGTTCAATCCTAGTCTGAAGAAAACTCTTCAAATTCAGCGCATGCATACAAACGGCTCAACAATCACCATTGAAACCCACCCACGATATTTTTCATCGATCAATGTCACCCACGATATTTTTCACCCATCCCAATCGGATAAGAAAAAGAAAGCCCAAACCAAAAAGGCGTTAGACACGTGCAACGAACCAAACAGCATCCAAATGACATGCACAGCTAACAAGCAGTCCCGTTCCCCAGCAGATTTCCACCAAACACTCCACAGTCTAACAAAAATCAAACCAAACGCACAGGCAAGGGCCAAAAATAAATAAAACATTCAGGATGCATGAATCGAACCAAACAATTATTAATATTATTATGAGCAGCTGCACTCTAAAATCCAATAGATATAGATCCGCAAAACAATCAGATCCGGCACATCGAGTTCATCGAAACTTGCAGGAGAAAGAAACCAGCTCACGAAAACTGCTAACTACACCATCGGATAAGCCAATCTGATCAATCAAATCGAATACGACGAACCAGAACCCAGGGGAAAATAGGAAAACAGCTCGATCCGCCATACCGAGAAAGAACGATCAGAGTAAGAGATAAGAGGGACGCAGAATTACAGATGTGTACACGCAGAGACGGAGAGGGGAGGGAGAGAGCGAATGAATCTGAAACAGAGCTCCGTTGGCGGCAGCAGTCCAATAACTAAGAGCAAGAGCAGAAGCAGATCTGGTAATGTGAGATAAGAGTTATACCTGACTGGATCTCTGCGAATTGTACTGTGATAGGTTTACAGAGACGGCGGGGATGAGATCAGAGTTCAGAGAGAGATATACGGGGGACAAAGACACACACACACAGTGGTAGAGAGAGGAAAGAGAAGCGGGCCGTAGAACTAGAAAGTGTTAGAGTTTGCGGAAAATATAAACGACGGGTTGAAGGAGGCAGGGGCGGAAGTGAATATACCCTTCTTTTTCAGGTAAAATTACGTAAAATACCAAATTGGGGAACCTGTGAGAATTTTGGGATGCGAACAGTGTTCGTTACAAATCCAGTAGACTACTACTAGAAACAGAAATTACCAGTAGATAAAAGGTAAGTAATAATAATAATAAAGAAAAGGTTGGATTGAATTGGATTTGCTGTGCTTTTGCTCGTGTCACCTCCTTCCTTGCTTTCTGTTTGTTTTCAATTTTATTTCTTTTCCATATTCAATACGCATGTATATCCATTCTGTTAGTTAATAGATAGTAACGAAAATGTATAAATGGCTTAATAATAATACTTTTTGAGAACGGACAACTGTTTTAATATAGCAGCGCAAATGTTTTTTTTTCCCCTTCCTTTTTATCCTTTTAGCTGTTTAATCTTTTGTCTGCCTGGGCACTTTCTTAATTTTTGCTATTTTGAAAGAAAAGCCTGCTTGTGAGGGTCAAACTTTTAACAGAAGCCTGTTTTGACAGAGTTACGGAGTGGGAGGGAAGGGATAAGGCAGGGGATGGGGACCAGACCAAGCAATGGGATAGATACAAGATTGTTAAACTTCTATCGGGTTGTAGCCGGTTCGATTTAAGATGGATTTTAAAACGATTTACAAAAAGCATGTGATCTAACCCCTAAATAAAGAGAAGAAGAGAGGGGAAAGAGAGGGAGAGGAAGAGGAACGAAAGAAGCGAGATGGTTGGGGACCAATTCCTATGCAATAAACTTATGGTGAGTAATCATGCATAACCCAATCACCATCCGCCACATCAGCGCCCCTTCTCCCTCCTGGAAAGTCGTTAATTTTTTCCCCCTTAATATTTAACGGATGATTTCTTATTCTTTTTAAGTTAGATTTTTTTTTGCGCAGTTAGATAAGATTAATTGTACTTTTCAAAATTATATCAACTTTGATATATTTATAGAACAAAAAAATTGAGTCGTTTATTACCAGTATATACCATATGGTATTGACTAGTATTAAATAAGAACATATCATATAGTATGAAAAAGTTTATCATGCTAGTATGAACATACCAAGACTGTAGATGATTGAATACATGATATTAGGTATATACTAACTATTATTTACGACTTTCAACATTGTGTATCACAAGAAACCACCCAGGGTGGTATTGTGTGATATTTTTTGTCATGTATTTTGTTCACCTTAAAATTTGTAGATCCAATAGATTAAGATAAGCTCGTTTATTCTCTGCAAATATTTTCAAAAGCGACTTAAAACAAAGAAGATACCATATAGTATGCAGTTGGTAACGAGGGGCAAGAATTTTTTTCTAAAAAAAATAAAAAATGGATCTCATTTTGTAGGGCACAACGAACTCGTTTCATCTGTGCAAATAAAAAAAAAAATTAAATCCGAGTTCAAACAAAGAAGATATGAGTCGATTAAAAACATAAGTGAAAATAAAAATGTCGTTAGGGGTCGTTTGGAAGTTGCGAATGTTAAATCGTTGCATTGTAATGAATCACCATAAATGCATGTATTGATACAATGGATGTATTTTAACAATACATTGTTTGGTTGTTGAGATTCTATTTTATACATTGATTTACATAAAGTTACTTTTATGGAGAAATGTCATATTTACCTTCAAATCATAGCATAAGACAAAAACTGTTAGGAATATAAATGGAAAGGAAAAGTTGACACAAATCTAAAAGCAACAATCACAACAATCTCAACTTTTAGTTGAGATTGTATAATGCATTATTTTTTGTGATTGTTGTGCACAATACATGTATTCAACAAACACAACTCTAACAATCACAACTTCCAAACGACCCCTTAATTCTTTATCATTATATCTGGACTTTCTAAGCTCATTTACGGGTCATTTGGATGCAGTATTTTGAATTTGAGGTATTTTGAATCAAAATGATGCATTATTATAGTTTGCGGCATTTGATGTGGTATTTGAAGCTCTAATTATCATGTTTGGATGGAGTATGCCCAACTTGAGGTATTTTATAGCTAAAATGGTTAAAGTTCTATTTTGCCCTTACTTAATTGATTTCCCTCTCCTACCTACTCTTTTCATCTTCCGACTCTCTCAAGCCTGTGTAAGATTGCTTCCATGATTCCATCCCTCCTTCCTCCAGTACGATTTTTTCAGAAAAGTTTGTTGTCTACTTCCTCCACTTTCAAAACTCGACGTGTCCTGTACACCAAATTAAGGTCTGACTTCTTCCTCTGTTTTGACATTGACCAATCAACATACCTGGTAAAAACCCAACAGAAAAAACTACATGCCATGAACTAAACAACACACCTAGAAACAAAACAAATAGCAACTGCATATTTCAATGAACTTCCATCACGATCATCAGCCTTTACATTAAACAACCATTACATTCATAATATACATTCAACATCCTTAAACTTCATCATTTAAATTGAGCATCATTTACAGGAGACATCATGTACATTCACATAAACATTTGGTCTAGTGAGGGCATCTTTGAGCACTCTGCTATCATGGGCACTACCTTCCCAACCAGCAAGAACATATACAAATTCTAGGTCTAGGTTTGGAGTGCAAACCCCCAATACATTCATGGACAACTTATGCTTCCTATCTCGAAATCTAGATTGATCTTCCTTCAAAGGTGGAACCTCAATATGAGTTCCATCTAGGGCCCCTAAGCCTTTCTAGGAAAAAGAAATAGCAGACTTTCAGGTAAACAAAACAATGCATTGAATGAAGGAGGAAAGAACTGAAAACAAGGTTTAAAGATTGACCTTAAAATGTTTCCACCTATTGTTGGTACAGTCCTCTGGAATAGGAGCAGCTTCATCATGTACTCATCATTTAATCTTATGACAGCCTTCAAAACACGGTGAAATGACCGAGATATGGTTTCACCGGATCGTGCAAATTAAGTTGCAACGTCCTATTTTTCTCGTTATGTGAAATAGTACGAAGAAAGGTATACACCATCTCGTCAATATCAACATTCCTAGTTTTTTTCAACCCTCCATCATGAGCAAGAACCTCACACAACCTTCTGAAAAGTGTACGGTTCATCCTAATTTGGTCAAAGGCATAAATATCACTAATTCTGGTTGTGTAGTTCAAGTGTCTTTGTCTATCATAGTGCCTCACAGTGTAAGTGTCCATTGGCTGCCTACCAAGTCTCGGGTTCATGTAACGGTTTTCTAAAATTTTGGATAGTCTCATGCCTAAAATCACATAAATCGAAATAAGGTTCATAAAGCAGCTAATGGCAGCAATCACTTGGCGCCTACACGTTGAATTCAACATTGACAATCGCGACATCCCTTGAAAGTCAGGAGATAGTACAAAATCAATGATAAAGAACAAAATCAATCCAAGCACAAAATCAGTGAAAGTCAGGAGATAGTACAAGATCAGTGACAAAGGAAAGCTATTCATGAAATCATGGATAAAATTCTCAAGTTTTTTTTTATTGGAGGGAGGGATAAAGCCAAGAAATTACAAAGCAGAGCTCTTAGTGAGAAGCTCCTTCAGCGAAACAGTGGGGAGAACAACGTCTGAACTGTCCAAACCATCCTAGCTAGTAGCTTCTGTTTACCTAATTAATTTTGTCTCACCTTTAAGTTGCAGAGGCAAGGGGAGGGGTATATGGGTCATTGTTAGTAATTGAGGAGATCTCTATTTAAACACTAGTTGTGCACTATTTTACGTATGAATAATAATATCAGAATTATCAAATCCCTAATCTCTCTTCTGTTCCCAATTCCCAACCCTAAATTCCCAATTCTCAACCCTAATTCTTCTATTTCTCATCCCTAATTCTAGTTCTCAACAGCTGTGTTCCTCACAATTGGTATCAGAGCTGTGTTCGACATGAGTTCAGCAAGGAATTCTGGCGGGGACCAGGGCGAGTCGACCACCGATCGCCTGCGGGCTGTGTTGGCGCGGCTGGCGCGCGCGGAGGAGGAGCTGCGGGAGGCGATTGGCGTGGCCAGGGCTCTGTCCGAGGGTCGCAGACCCTTCATCGCGACCGCGACGAAGAGAGCAGAGGCGAGGGAGGCGGCGGTCGCGGCAGGGGAGCTGGAGGGCGCCAGCGAGTCGGCCGCCACAGCCGGGGCAGGCGAGAGCCGCGAGGCTCGGGTCGTGCGCGCGGAGGAGAAGTAGAAGGAGCTGACCGCGAGGAGGGAGAAGTTAGGTGGGGAAGAGGAAACAATCTCGGCCGTCGCGGTAGTCAAAACGGCGGGGTCGGCGACGATGAGATTTCAGACTTAAGTCATGGGGGAATGGGGAGTGTCCCTCGTTGACAGTGGGGCTTCTCTCAATTTCGTCAGTACAGAGTTTGTGAAGCGGCTGCAGTTACCAAGGTCGGCCGTTGAGTCCTTCAATGTGAAGGTGGCTAATGGCGCTCCACTACGGTGTGCAGAGAAGTTAGTAGGGGTCCCCGTGATGATCCAAGGGCTGTTAATCCCTCTCGGCCTATATATATACTGCCCTTGCATGGATTCGACCTGATTCTGGGCATGCCATGGCTCAAGAGTCTGGGACCGGTGACGAGTGATTGGGTAGAGATGGTGATGAAGTTCAAGTGGAGGGATAAGGATTGGGAGCTGCGAGGAATGACGACAGCGACCGGACCCATCGAGTGGGGCGATCTGCAGCTCGAGGAGGACTTGGAGCTGGCCATCCTTTGCTGGCCGATGGAGCGCGCCGAGGGATAGGCTCGAGCACCGGATTTGCAGTTGTTGTTGGACCGATATGCTAGTCTATTTGCTCAGCCTACGCAGCTGCCCCCGAGATGGCAGGTTGACCATCGGATTAGACTCAAGGGAGGCACCGAGGCGGTTAACATGAGACCGTACAGTTACGCACATGCTCAGAAGGAGGAGGTGGAGTGCCAGGTGGCCGAGATGATGACCGCGGGGTTGATTCAGGAAAGCTCCAGCCCGTTTTCGTCCCCGGTGTTGCTGGTCAAGAAGAAGGATGGCACTTGGAGGGTTTGTACCGACTACCGGGCCCTCAATGCAGTAACGGTTCGAGATCGGTTTCCGATTCCGACTGTTGATGATATGCTTGATGAGTTGTGAGGGGCAAAATATTTCACGAAGCTCGACCTACGAGCTGGTTATCATCAGATACGCATGCACGAGGAGGATATTCCGAAGACTGCATTCCGGACACACAGTGGTCATTATGAATATCTCGTGATGCCTTTCGGGCTTTGCAATGCGCCCTCGACCTTCCAGGCAGCCATGAATGACATTTTTCGGC